CACACAAAGCCTCCAGCTACCCTTCAACATGGAAGCAAAGAAGTGGTTGCCATGGAAACTGCCAGGTCAGCTAACCTACTTTTACATGAATGAAAGACATTGGCTGATGGGAAAAAGAGAGGTGTATGTTATAGGTTACCCTCAACCCCCTCCATTTGTCTTGCACACACACACATTTATTACATGGTGTTATTTATGAAGAAGAAAGACGAGAATGTGAAACTTTAGTAAACGTTTTTTTTTTTCATTTATTGTCAGTGTCCACATCATCCTTTGCAGGGTCGACGGGCCGGAGGCGGAATACACCAGACAGGTCACCGGTGCAGCACGGGAACACAGAAACAGCTTTGGGGAACCTTTTTGTGTAAAACAGGGCCATGCTGATTATCAGCAGTGAAGGAAAACAACGTGAAAGAACTGAAATTAGCATGCAGGGTGAACAAAGTTCGTGTTTTTTCCTATAACTTCCTTAATCAGGATTTCTCAAAGGACGACATGCATTCCATAAATAACCACACTGCAGTTGTAAAAACAATCAATTTGCTGCAGTCCACTATGCTGCATAATTTGCTGCACAACCCTAAATGCTCATGGGACATAACAGACTTTTCTTGGGTCTTAAGGAACTTGGGTACCACTAACAAGCTACTGTTTAAACCTTGAGAAGAATAAATACAAGAACAAATGGATTAGTTATAGCTCACATAATGTTTAAATATGATGGTAAGATTCCAATACTTGAGTCTTTTTCATGTACTTAAAGCATACAGAGCATATAGTTGGTTGATGTTCCTAAATAATGTGTTCGGGTCAAACAGCATCCACATTTATGCTGCTTCCTACAGGGAGCCATGCCTTTCCCACTAAAATGGATCAAGGGGATTTTTCATCCAATAATTATTTTTGTTCACTTCCTCTAGTTCCGCTCTAATTCTGAATCAGTGGCTGCAGAGAATTGTGTTAAACAGACGAAAGGCACACGGTGTAAGACATGAGTGGCTTTGATAAAGACAGAATAACTGAGAGCCACACACACACACTCACACACATGCATCATGAATGTGGGCTTATTGCCAGCCACCATGGGCCACTGCATCAGTGAGGCATTCAAAATCAGGGCCTGACAACAACAAAAGCTCACAGGTTTTTAGAGACTGATTTGGCGTGGCATTGCAATGTTCTGCAGCCACGGAGATGGAAATAGACTTATGAGAATTGACATGTTTCTGCAGATGGAATGCAAGGAGAAAATGTGCTGAGAGTATCCAAGTTACCCTTCTAATGCTCCGAACACTTTACACTGATTTACTGTGACTTTTGTTTTCTCTATAGTTAAAGAAAAAAATGTTTTTTGTGCTCTCTGAGGATCTATTGTGACAAGTTATCTGGTATTTGGATAAATAAATAAAAAAGTTTGCATTTCTTTAGATTTATCTTTGTAAATTTGTGCTGTATTAAAGCATCCTGCTATCACAGCAAAAAGTTGATAATGTTATTGCCCGTGTGTTTATAGTCCATTTTATTGGCAAATATTCCCTGAATCATTGCACATATTTAATGGAAACTTTCAGGAAATTATCATTGGATGTACATTCACAACTTAGTCAGTTCAGTTCAAGATGGCTGCCACAGCTACGTGATCTTATAAAACCCAGAAGTCAGTTTTAGCACTACTGAGATAAATTTTGGTGGTGGCAGCAGAGACCGATCCCCAACTTATACTCTGAAAACAAACTGATCACATGAGCACGGCTGTCATAACTTTAACTATTGGAGTCTATTGTGTCTGTCAGCAAAATATCTCATGAAACACTAAAAGGAGTAGCATCGATTTTGGATGCTACAGCTGGTCGACTTTAGCAACAACAAAAAATGGCAATAACTCAGTCCATTTTCCAGATTTTGAGCAAATGGTGGTAGTAGCTGAGAGTCATCCTCAACACGTACTTTGAGCTACAACAAATTTTGCAAGAACGCACGAGATTGTGCACAACGTCATTTACAACATTTGACCAAAATGACTACAACGCTGTCCCTCGTCATCATAAGATGAACTTAGTTTAACACTCTGGGATGATTTCTAAAGGAATTACATTTTTTCTTCACTTTTCTTTATTTTTTTTTTAATAGAAGCTTTTATTCTGTCAAATTAAGAACTCAAACTTAAGTATTAAAAATATTAAAACGCCATTTACTACATAGACAACGACTAATAAGCGCTCACCCACGTTTCTTTCTTTCTCATCTTTTTTGTTGTTATTGTATTTCTAAGCGGTACACCCAGAGTTTTTCATGGTGGGTGGTAAATCATGGGCCCACCCCTGGATGAGGAAGGCATCATTTCAGTCACACACACACACACATGCTCACATGAAAGAAAACACACACACACTCACACACAGACATTTGCCTTAATTATTCCCTACCCCTCCTAAATGTGGGAGCAGAGCAGGTCTGAACAGGTGGACAAGCAAAGCAAAACTTTGGTCTTGGCTGTTGAACAACATACACACACACGTTCTTGTAAATGTACTTTTTGGGGACTTTGCATTGACTTCCATTCATTTTCTATAGCTTAACCCTGACCCTTAAACCTAACCATTACCAGTACATGCCTAAACCCTAACCCATCTGTAATTCACATCTTAGTCCTAAACCTACCCCCCCAAACAAGACTTTTCCTTATGGGGACCTGGCTTGATCCCCGTAAAGAGCATGGCTCCCAAAATGCGTTTTCTTTTTGTAAAACAATGGCCCCTACAAGTTTACCTGAAACAAAAATGCACACACACACACACACAAACACACATACATACACATTGTCGCCATCCCAACAATCCAAAAGACATTCCACTGATCACCTGAAACATTTGCCAACAACCCTCGTCTAATCTCAGCTCTAACAGCCACACTAAAGCTTTAAATTATGTGGATTTGTGATGTGGCGCTTTAAACACTCATTACAACTTACAGGTCATACACACAGAGAAAGACATGCTTTCTAATTATTCATTTGACTTGTCATGGTATCCTAAAATCAGTGGTGACCATTAGACAAAAAAAAAACCCAAGTTTAATTATTATTAAAATAAAAATCCAAATCTGTGAATGACAAAAACCGAATGTGAATGTTTGCTTTCAGGATCTGGTGCAACCTCTGTTTGCAGCAGAACATCACTGGATAAATGTCCAGTTGTTTGTTTTAATCGTTTACACATAAGAGCTTGATTTTGGCTTCAAAATTCACAAAACATGTTTGCACTAATCTTAATAAACATAATTCATGAACATTCAGAGAGATCTTTACTTGCTGTTAAACTAGGCAGACTTATTGCTTTGTATACTTTCAAACACTTTGTTTTTGGGCTATTTGTTGGTTTATCATTCCTGGGCATTTTGAAATAAATTTGTTAAATATTCTTCATTTAAATACAGTTTGGCTGCAGATCGATGGAGTCCAAACACTTTATAGATGGATATGTAACCAGTTTCAGCTTGGATATTATACAACTCTACTAAACCTATTTATTGATGTCACAACACATCAGTGCTTAGATTTTCACACTGTTCAGTTTTTTGTTTTTGTTTTTGCTTTTATATAAAATGCTCAAAAAATTGTCATCTATACAATGAAGATGCAAATTTTACTTAAAAAAATAAATAAATTGATAACCAACCGCCCCGTACTCACAGAAAATATGCTTTGCTAACACAAATAAATTATAAAATAGATGACTTTTGAGCTGTTTTCCTGTTAAAATGGGACATTTTAAAAAAATATTCCTTGTCACATTTTAAGAGTTAAATGAACCCTGAATATTTTTGGGGTTATAATTTGCAGAGGGCAGCATGGTGGCTCAGTTGTTAAAGCTGCTACCTCTCAGTCAGAAGGTTGCTGGATGAATCCCAGTATACCAGTTTCCTCTCACAGACCAAAAACATGCATGTTAGGCTGATTTGTAACTAAATTGTCCCTAAGTGTGAGTGAGAGAGTGATGGTTGTTTCTCATTTGTCTCCATAAGTGTCCTTGTGATGGATGGATGGATATAATCAGCAGAAAAATATAAAAAAGGTTTGTTGTTCACAAACATGTTTTTTTAATATTTGCTTTGTCTTGTTTCAAGGGAGAAATGGTGAAGATGGCAAACCATTGCAAAGTTAAAAGCTAAAAATTGAAATTGACATCAAAACAGATGAAACAGAATCAGCACAACACAAGTCCAGCTTGTGATTATCATTTAGTAATAGTAAACTTTATAAAAGCTCCAAGTTCTCTTAAAAAAGACAAAACAATACGCTTGAGTTTGAGCTGGATTTTATTTCATGAAGTGGATTCTACCAAGCTCAGAAAACCCCCGAGAACTCAATAAAATACAAATAAAATAAATAAAAAACATGTCAAATCCCACAACAAATACCTGTACATTATAGGGCGTTCTGGTCTAACAAAGCTTCATATATAAAAATAAACCAGTGATGTTGTCTCCTTTTGAGGCCAAATTTGTTTTTATGGTTAGCTGGATAAGCTTTTGTCAATAATATTACTTAATTTATTAGTTTAGACGGTTTTTATATAACTTTAACATTTCTAAAATCTAATTGAATATACAAGAATGGCCACCAGGTGTCGCCAGAAACCACATTTTGCAGAGTCGTCAGATGGACGCGGTTTCCACGGCAATGAAATCCGATCCTGCCTCACATCAGAATATTGACTCACTGCATAAAATATGTCATTTAATCTAGTTTTATATGGCTTTTGTGTAGGGAGTTTGATTATATACGTGATAAACATGATAAAAAAACTGGACAAACTTGAGCTCAATGAACTTCTGTTTTCCAAACTGGATCCTCAGAAGGTTCTGGTTCTGATCGGCGCATAAAACTGTGAGCAGGTATAGATGTGTGAGCTGGACAGGAAACGAGAAAAAAAACAAAAAGTTTAGTAGTCCTGAGCGGCAGAGGAGCATGCATGTGGTGGTTGGTAGGTTTTCTGGTGAGAGCGCGCGCACGCGCCGCAATTCTGATGGGCGCGCGGAAGATGATGATGAGAGCGTGACCTCACCGCTTTCTGCACAGCTGCTGGAGAGAGGAGGAGACGCTCGGAGAGCCACGGACAAACCGAAAACACGCCGAAGGAGACACGGAGAGGTCCAGGACTGCCAGGACTTCGGGGGGAAAAGAGGGGGGACGCCGTCCGCGGTGGACACCTTTCGCTGGTTCACCCCCCCACCAGAATGCTCTGCGCTCCCGGATCGTTTCCACGGTACGAGAAGAAAAAGTCCCCGCGGCGTCTCCGCGAACACTGAAGCCCAGATGCTCGCCCTCTCCGCCGACATGGACGACTCCTCGTCGCTGCTGGATCTGTTGGAGTGCTCGGTGTGCCTGGAGCGCCTGGACACCACGGCCAAGGTGCTGCCGTGCCAGCACACCTTCTGCCGCCGCTGCCTGGAGAACATCGTCAGCTCCAGGAACGAGCTCCGCTGCCCGGAGTGCCGCATCCTGGTGGACTGCGGGGTGGACGACCTGCCCGCCAACATCCTCCTGGTTCGGCTCCTGGACGGGATCAAGCAGCGGCCGCAGCGGGGGGGCGGCAGCAGGCAGTCCCTGGCAGGGGGGTCGCTGCAGGGGTGTGCAGCCGGGATATCAGCCTCCCCTCCGGGCACTGCAGTCAGAGAGCTGCCGGTGTCCACCAGGAGCTCCCCTGTCAAGGTTAGACACTTTCTGCTTTATCTTGTTTTTGTATATATAACCAGCTGCACGTTGCTGCTCATGCACAGAATCTGGTTGAAGAAAGTTTTTAAGAACTTTTTTTGGGAAAAAAAAAAAAAGTTTTGCACTGATCTATTACAGCATGGGGAAATCGAGCTAACTTTGAAACAAGAAAACATTTTACAAAAGTGTTATAGCTGACCTGATGTAGAAGCTGCACCATATTGAGATATGATGACAATATAAGTTGCCATAAACACATTTCCCCTCGCTTTATCATCTAAAGCAGATGTGAGCATCAAGGCCAGAGGTGATCAAATATATTATTATGCAGAACATGAGCGCATGGGACTTGAAATCTATATTTAAAGTATTGCACTCTATGATTTTCAATGTATTGTGCAGCCCTGCCTGCTGTTACCTCATGACTGGGATTTTGCTATTAATATTTGCTATATAATTGCTAATAGTGTGTTTTTTAATGTGGCATATTTACCTGAGTTGAAAGAGAGGGTAAAAGTGAAAGGTTGAACAGGCCAGTACATTCAGCTCCATGTTTAGGTCCAGTTGTTGCAGGTTTCATATCTCCCACTCATCTGGAGCTGAATGGAGTCTTGTTTACTTCCTGTCCAGTGTATTATCTGTTGCCTTAAAGAATGTGACTGCAATGTGGCGGTAAGATGTGATATCAGCAGCAGCGCTGAGCTTCAGAAATGTTGATTGCCTTTCCTTGCCTTCAGTTGAAATCTAAAAAAAAAAAAAAAACAATTTGTGAAGAAGCAGGAATATCTGGTTGTATTGTGGAATGAAAAGTGTGTCTGTTTGTCAGCGTGCTGGTTTTATTTGGAATTTTTTGTCAATGGTATCTTGTTGGAAGAAACTGTGTTTTATGGACTCTGAGTTTATAAAATACATCACGCTGTTCTGTCATTTAAAATGCCACAACCTTTAAACTTTACTAGACCTATACAGTAGCTCCAAAAGCACACGGAGAGTTTAGTTGTGAGGCAACGAGAGGGATGCAATACAGTTTGCAAATGAAAGTGCTGCTAATCCTCCTCCCATGTTGAGGAGTTGAATTGTCCAGCAAGCTGACCATTGATTAAAGTGTAGCTCTTTATTGTGATAAGGTGCAGCAGCATTTATCCACTGAGTGAAATTTCCACTGTAAGAAACAATAAAAGAGAAACGGCACCATTAATGGGGGGGAATTGGGCAGACATAAAGGAACTCTGTAAAAGCCAATTACAAACATTCCTCTTTGATTATGAATTAAGCAATGTCGAAAGTTGTTCTGTTTTAAAGCACAAAGTGGCATTTTGATTTACAGTTTATATAAGATGGAAGTCAGAAAGTATTATACACGATGTGATTCTCTTGTTGTGTCCACTCTGCTCTTGTTTTAGGGCCTCATGAGGAGGCACTCCACGGTGTGCTTGGCTTTTATTGCCACACATTCTCACCCTTAAATGTACACACACGCCTGTAGCCGCTACCTTCAATTCACTGCAGACACTTTGCCCAAGTCTCCTCCAGGCACTACTGGGTCCTGGGCTTTGTGGTAAACGTGTAAATTAATCTCCTCACTGAGGTGCACACATGCGGCTGCACATGTGTGTGTGCATGCTGTTTGGCTGCAGATCTGTTTGCACACAAAGAGCAGGGGTCTTGAAGCGTTAACTCTGTGTTTGAGGTAATGCTGCACTGTACTACTAAATTTATACACACAGTTACTGAAGGAGTCCTAGAGGTAAAACAAAGCCCTCTGTTTCAAGAGGTGAGGTTTCTAGATGAGGATGAATGTGTTGCCATGGGAAGGGAAGCAGAGGAATGCAAGCTGAGTCAGCAGAAAAACCAGTCATTCCTCCTGCTGTGCTCCTTTTGGCTTCTGTTGCTGACTTAGTACCACGTTACAAGTTATCAAAGCTGAAAATGTTTTTTTTTTTGCAAAGCGTGAAATAAAACACCAATAAAGAACACTAATCGTGACGTTAATATTGCTCAAAAGGTTATATTTCATACTTGTCTTAGTTTAGATTTTTTTGTTTTTCATTGAAAGCTGGAATCTTAGTCAACTATTTGTACGTCTGAAGTCCTTCAGTTTTACAGAAGCTTGTTTTTTTTTAATTGTTCAATGAATCAGACAATTTCACTTGTTCTATCTTTTGGACAACGGCAATCCATTTTCATCCGTGCGCAGCTCAGTTATGTCTGTTTTTATTCATCATGATCAATTTGGATTGTGATGCTGAAAATCTCACCTTCTTATACAATCCGCTTTCAAGTTATTCACACATGAGCAGCAAATGAAAAACGGTCTGGAATTATGTTCAACACCAGATAAATCTCCAGTGGATGAGGCATGCGAGCAGAAAAGACCACAATAAGAGTTTAGAAACAAAGCCACTGGACTTGTAAGATGTTTGTCTTCCCAGTCGAGGAGCTTTTTCAGTTCCAAACCAGAGCTTGTAGAGTTTCAAGCTTTAAACTGCATGTGACATTGAAACTCGGTGCTTTATAGTTTTTGTCTCCCGTCACAGAGCCAAGAGGGGGATTGGAAATGGCTTCCATCCATCTGTCCATCTGTCCATCTTGTGAGTTGGATAACTTTAAAAAAATACGTGACTTTAGGTGTGTGGCTACATTTAGATGTAAGAAAGTTTCCTGTCAAAAAATTGGGTTGCCATATCAAAATCCATTATGGCTGCCGTCATATACTGCACGTCTGCCCATGTCTATCCAAGTCTGTGGGCAATTCTGCAGGAAAACAATCACTGCAACAACCAGACAAGATACTGCTTGTAAAAAAAA